GATTTTTGTTAAGATTGACTTTTATGGATAGGTCTCGAAGAGACGAATCCAACGGTATATTTTATGAATAAATCTGATGTACAGAGGTTCAGTTATGACATTTTAAATATGTAATTTGTATAAAAATGAGAAAAAGTCAAAGATGTGAACTTTTGTAAAATGATTTATTGAAATAAATATTTATATATAATAATATTGATTGAATATGAGACTAATTTTAATTACATATCAATTAATTCAATTTTGACTCTGTCAAAGTCAACACCCAAAAATATTCTGTCAGAAAAAGTATTTCAAATAAATATAAAAGTTATATCATTAAATAGAGTTTGACTGTCTGATCGCAACGGTGTAAACAGATTTTAATTTGGATAAAGTTGGACCAAAAAGTGTACCCCAATTGAGGTAATTTAATCAAACTAAACTAGAAAGAATTAAATTAGCCGCCCCCTCCACTCACCTTAATCGACGGAAATCACAGGCTATCTACGCAACTCCCTCTCCCAGGCTTATATATAGAGCAATTCATTCTTCATCATCTCCACACCAAAATCATCCCATTAGTTAGAGGAGAGTTTAGAGAGTTGAGAGAAGCTGTCCGGAGAGCTTCCCGTCGCCGGAGCAAGCCATGGTGTTCGCCGGAAGTTTCGCCATTTTTCCGCCGGAATCATTGTTTTACTTCGAAGTAAGCCCGTAGATATATCTAGTGACTAGAATGTTCATATAGATCGTTTCTACGTTCATAAACGGTCATTTGATTGAGTTTTGTGTTTAACATATGTGAAGAACCAAGAATCATAAACCTTGAATTTGTTGTTAAAACTTCGAATTGATGCCTCTAAAATGATCTACGAACCTTGAAGAACATTTCTATATAGTTTAATTGAAGCTTGGTGACCAGAAATTGAACTAGAGAAAAATGGGTTAGAGGTTGAAGATGATGAATAGTGAACCTTCAATTTCCTGCATTTTCCAACGGAACGGACGACCGTTCGGACCCAACGGTCGACCGTTACGAACATTTTTAAGCCCAAAAATGCTATTTTTGAAGCTATAAAATCCTATTTTTTTATATACCAATCAATTATGATCAATATAATAATTATTGTTAAAAATAAAAATGATGTTTTGACAAATAAAATTTTATGTGATAAAATAAAAATGATGTTTTGACGAATAAAATTTTATGTGATGTATGACGATAAGCTAAGGTGTTAACACTCGATGCTAGGCCGCTATTTGTTATTAGATATTGTGATGATTATTATTGATGTTGTTTATGATTAGACTTTGATGAATATTATTATTAAAATAATAATTACAAATGATTAAATCATGATTAAAAAAATGAATACATTGATGATTATGAAAATGATGTATATTGTTAAGGATATCTAGAAGAACTCTAAGATATACCCACTTGGAAAATTGATGATGATTATTAAGGATATCTAGAAGAACTCTAAGATATACCTCCTTGACCAATTCATAATTCGGGGTTAAAACGTACGTACGGGATCCAGACCGGATATCACCCACCCGACAGTTCACTGTTCGATTGGTACGTAATCCACATGACTCATAGGGTGGATTATCGATTCTTGTGTTCTGCATTAAACTATTTATAGTTTAAGGGCCTGGTTAGAAATGTTGCCTTAGACTAGGAATAGCTAAGAGTTGTTATAAAATGATTTGGCCTTAGATTAAGAATAATTTAAGAGCATTGTTGAGATATTGAATATCAAAGGATTTGGAATAAAATATTGAGAACATCATGAATGTTTGAATTATATATTGTGTGCATGATATCAAATGGTTGATTATGAATCGAGATTCAATTTATGTGGATGTTCGACGCTTTAGATATGCTTACTCAGCTTCACCGCTGAGCGTGTAGTGTGTTTTATTTGCTACACGCAGGTAGGCAGGATGAATGATTGGCTGATTCCTGGCAGCACAAGGGGCGAGATAGTCGTGGTAGATTATAGAATGAAATAAATAATTATGTTGTTATGAGACATATTTTAAAGTCGCTTCCGCATTTTATTTAAACACTCCGTATTTCTCTACAATTATGTATGGAATATTATTTATAAATAAAAAAATGTTTGAAATGTTTTAAATTATCACAATTACCAAATCAATACTTTAGTCCGAAAGGGGCTGCAGACCTGGACGGATTAGGGTGTTACAGTTTCAATTAATACATCCTAATGTTTGAGGGCCTACATTTGTGTCCTCGTTTGGTGGCTATCATTTTTATATGAATTTTGTGGATGACTTTACAAAATATTGTTGGATCTATCCTCTCAAACATAAATCAAAAGCTTTTGGTGCTTTTAAAAGTTTCCACTCCATGGTTAAATATCAATTTGGAATGAATATTAACATCTTCCATACTGATAATGGTCATGAGTATGTGAATCATCAATTTGGCCTTTTCTTACAGCAATTCGGGGTCCTCCCTCTTAAATCATGTCCATACACCCCCGAACAAAATTGGGTTGCCGAGCATAAGCATAAACACTTAATTGAAACTCTTATCACACTTCTTTACACCTCTTCTTTACCCACCACATTTTGGGTTGAAGCCTTAGCCACATCCAATTACCTCATCAACCGTATGCATAAACGTTCTTTTCACTACGAGACTCCGTATGAAGCCCTTTATCACACCCCACCAGATTACTCTCATCTTTGTTTCTATGGTTGCCTCGTTTACCCTCACCTTTGGCATGATATTGATCATAAGCTACAGCCTCATTCCAAACAATGTGTTTTCTTGGGTTATGAGTCTCAATCCAAAGGTTATTGATGTTATGATCCTCTCACCAAAAGTGTGTATATCTCTCGTCAGGTCCAATTTCAAGAACATGTCTTCCCTTACTCTTTCTCAACCACATCTTCTTCGTCACCGTCCCACTTTGGCTTCTTTCCTCTTTTCACACCTACTTCGACTATGCCTCCCGGCCCCGCTCACTTGGCTAATCCCCCGGTAATACCCACGCACCAAATACCCCACTGCCTAGCCCAACCCACGCACCAAACACTCAGCCCATTACCCCGCAACCCATTTCTTCTACTAGTGACCCCATCCTCAGCCTACTTCCCCTACCCGTACAACAATACCTGCTCTCCCACATCCCATTACCCCAATCAACTCCCGCGCACAACCCGACTCTCAACCTCAGCCCATAGTCCAATGTGCTCTTCGCTAGGGATGTCAATTAAACCCGAACCCGAGCTTAATCGACCCGACCGACTACTAAAATATCCGAACCCGAACTGAAAATAAAATAATCCGAACCCGACCCGAAATTTTTTACCCGAACCCGACATCGGGTCGGGTGTGGATTTATAATTTTGCCCGACCCGACCCGAACCCGCACCCGACCCGACTAAAACCCGAATATTTTATTACATAAAAGTATATTTATTGATATAATGAGCACTCCGTATAATCAAGTATGCCTTTTATAATCATTTTTATAATCCCTTAATAAAAAAATGAGACATAAAAAAAGAGACATAAAAAAATTAGATTTAATCTTTTCAAAATTATTGGGGTACATCGAATTGATTATTGGTTTAAAGTCGGGTTCGTGTTCGGGTTTCGGGCTGAAATGTCGGGTTCGGGTCGGGTCGGGTTTTTGGCTTAAAAGGTCGGGTTTCGGGTCGGGTTCGGGTTTCGGTTTTAAAAGTCGGGTCGGGTTCGGGTATAGTACTATCCGACCCGAACCCGACCCGTTGTCATCCCTACTCTTCGCCCTAAACACCCAATGACTACCCGTGCCAAAAGTGGCATTTTTAAGCCCAAGCTCTACTCCGCCATTCTTACCACCCCTCATGTTACTGAGCCCAACACTTATAAAGAGGCCTCCAAATATTCTGCCTTGATGCAGCAAAACACTTGGGTACTAATGCCGACACCCTTGGGTCCTGCTTCCAAGGGTAAAATGTAAATTATTATTACCCCAAATCAGAACGGTACATCATTGTCATATGCTGAACCATAGAAATGGTTCCGTGCATGTAATGAATACAAAAACAATACATACAACAGTACAACAACTTGGCACGCAGGCCATACAATTAAACAGTCAAAACGATCATCAAGGTGGTCAAACACAACAACTAGTAATCCCCGTCCGGGCTCTTGTGGACCTTCTAGTACCTCGCGACACCAGGCAGTAGTATGGTAGACCAAACCAGAGCATGGAGGGACTATATGTTGGTGGCATCACAAGCCAAGCACATATACTCCCTCTCCAAGGACTCAATCTCACGAACACGCGATCCATCATCAACATCCAAGGTACTTTAAAAATCAATCCAAAATGTGTGTCATCCATCAAATCCATCCAAGGCAAGTGCTCAGTTATTTTTGCCAAAGATTCAACCAGTAAGCCAGGGGGCCCATCCCCGAATGCCAGAAGTTGTCCACCATCATCACGAAGGGAAAAGTCCAAAGTGACCCCACTCTGCCATACGGACCCCTCCCCTAGGTCTACGGCCAGAGTGCCCCCCAGGTATTTGGAAAGCATCCCCCAACAGACGAAGTAGAAGTTCACTAGTAGTCTCAAAAGCCTTCATCTAGTATTGCCCTCGGTTGAGTTCAGAAACAACACGTAGATAGGCAAGACCCAGCGAAAACAACCTCCTCGACTCAAGAAAAGCCCAGTTAGCTAGAAGATCCACTTCATAGCTAAGATAGCCCAAAGTCTTCCAAAAACCCCAACCGAAAGGGTCAGGAGGAAGAAACTAAGGGCGGCCTGCCAGGAGGACCAAACTGGCAAAAGTAAACTTCAGACCCATCTCAAAATGAATTGGGATTCCACCAGAAATGAGGCCAATCCAAGTGTAAAAACAGCCATGGTTCCACACTCCATCCCACAAACACAGGTCAAAGCGCCAAAAGATATCCACAAAATCATCAATGTTTGAGGACTTAGTGGCCAAAATGTTTATGGGTGGCCGGGCATCCAAAGCCTTCCAAAACCATTGTCAAACGAACTTCATTCCAGCACTCCACTGCCCAAATCTGTTGGGCAGCCACTCTGTCACAAACAGCCAGCCCACATGTGTTCATCACTCACAAAACAGCTCCAGCAGATAGTGACTAAAACAGTGAGAAACAACCCAATTTGCCTATTGCAGCCCATGATTCCAGCAGCCTTTCCAAAGGACTCAAACACCACTTGAATAACATTTCAAACAGCTCGTCCATATGGCAGCAGGAACTAGGACAGGGAGCATAACTGGGCAGTAAAACATCACAACAAATAAATTCAAACATACACTCAAAACCCACCCCACACAGCAGCTTCCAAGTTACTGAACACAGCAAGCAGCCCATGGGCAGTGAACCAATGACACAGCAAAACACCAAGGCCTTTGTAAGAAATCCAGATAAGCAAAACCCAAAGCAAAACCAAAAGAAGGAGGCTAAGAGGTGTCCAGTGGTACAGCTCCAGATTCTCAATCGAGCAGAATACCCAGTAATGAGTCCTCATTAATCCAAAAGAAACCACAAAAATGCAGACCCAAAATCAGGATTGGAGGGCAGCAGCTTGCTCCACAAAAATGCAGACCCAAAATATATGGAGTCTGACGTTTTCCTCTCTCTAGCCGCGACATGAACAGTAGCCGCGAGGACGTTCTCACGATTTCTCCATCGATTTGAGGTTTTAGCTTCAGATTTTTGGAACTCTAGGAGCGCCTTCAGCTGGTGACTCCGGATTTGAGCTTGTTTTGGAGCTGGATTTTGAGGAAATGAAGGTCAACGCCTGCGAATTTACTGTTCAATCGCGAGTTTATATCTCCGATTTACTTTGACCTGGGCAATTTTGATGGCTGTTCTTCAGAGATTCCGAACGGTTTGTAATCCCCTTTCATGATATGAACATAGATTTCAATACCATTTGAATTCACTTGGGATTTGACGCAATTTGGTATTCGTAGTTACTGTTCACAGCGCGATTTTGGATTACGTATGTACCAATTATATGCTTGTTTTTGCCCAACTTTTTGGGTCCTGCTTCCATTGGCTATATGTGGGTCTATAAAATTAAGGGTAATGCGGATGGATCTGTTTCCAGAGTTACAAGGCGCATCTCGTTGCCAAGGGGTATAACCACGAATTTGGTTTGGTGAGGTGAAACAACAGACTATTCGACGTATATTCAGTCTTGCTCTTTATTATGGGTGGTCTCTTAACCAGCTTGATGTATCTAATGCTTTTTTGCATGGTGAGTAACCAGCTTGATGTATCTAATGCTTTTTTGCATGGTGAGGTGGAGAAAGATCTGTACGTGACTCAGCCCCCATGCTATGTTGACTCTCATTTTCCACACCATGTTTGCAAACTCACGATGTCTCTGTATGGTTTGAAACAGGCTCCCCGTGCTTGGAACTTGCGTCTCTCGTCCTTTCTCTTTGCCTATGGTTTTCGCAACAGTGTACATGACATTAGTCTCTTTGTCTTTGACACTCCTATTGGTACTGTTATTCTCCTCATAACACCCTAATTTATCCAGTTCTGTAGCCCCTTTTGGGACTAAATTATAAACTTGGTAATCGTAAAATTTAAAACATTTCAAACATCTTTATTTATCATAAATAATATTCAATACATAAACTGTAAAAATACGGAGTGTTCAATAACGCAGAAGCGAATTTAAAACATGCCTCATGACAATCACAATCAATTAATTTATATCTTTAAGATAATAATTTAAATCCACAAATCCATCACGACCGTCTCGTCCCATCTCCCGCCAGGAATGTAACGCCCTCAGAATGGGCCTAGTAGTTTGAGAATAAATTATTATAAAAACTTTTATAAGATATATAAAATAAGTTATTATTTTTGTACAAAAAAAAATACTAATGATACATATTAGAATTAAAAATAATAATTAATAAACTAACTTTGGAGCAAAACAATTATTATCCTTATCCTTGACCGACCTATTTCTAAGAGATAAGAAAACCTTATCTTCTCTAAACCTTATCTCCTCTAGTTCCTAAAAAAAATCAAAGGAGCTGCATTTTGTTTCTTAACCATGAAGTCTTCACTCTCACAACTATATATATAAACAAGTCATTGCTCTATTATCATTAATATACTACATATACCGTACCTATATACTCTATATTATCTACAAATACTACACTCCTATGAATTTTAATAAATGCAAGTAAAGATATTAAGTACTACCAAACATTTTTCGATTTAGTACTATACTAATACCATAAGTAGTAGCTATGATACGGTTAACATCTAAATTGCCGGAGCAAACAACGACTTGATCAAATAAAAGTTCTATTTCTGAGAATTTGTTTCAAGTCAAGGTGAGTATCGCCGCCCGTATAACAATCGTTACTTAATATAATACGTTAATATATGGTATATTTGTTATATATTCAATTGATTTAATTTTCGTCACTAATAATCGGGAACGCCGCCGACTTTTATTTTTAACATGCGTTACGTCCAAATTATCTAAAATATTCCCCAAAAGGATTCTATGATGATTATATAAGGGCATGCGAATAGAAAATAAGGTTTTGAAACAAATTTTTGAACACCGTTAAAGAAGGCGACCGGATAATGGGTCACGATAGCGGCATACAATTTGTACAAATCTTTACGTCCAAACTATTTATATATGTTTTATAAAAAGTATTTTGATGATAAAAAGAAGAAAAATTGGGTTTTGAACATAAAAATAAAGTTACCTCGTCGGAGAAGGTGACCGGAAACGACCAACTCCAAGTGACAAGATTCTTTTACATTCTATACCTAAAACTACTTCTCTATATTCTAAGGAAATTTTTAATAAGTTTTTAGTAAATAAAAGGGATATGTTTGAAGCTAAGTAAATACTCCCTCCGTCCCCCATAGATCTTCCCAATAGCTCTTTTTCTTTGTCCACAATAGATCTTCTCATTTCATTTTTTAACAATTAAAATACCACAACTACCCCCACTTACTTTATTTATTACACCTCACCCACCTCATTTAATATACTCTACCCATTTTCATTAAGGGTATTATGGTAAACTTTCACCTTTTTTCAACCCTCCTTAAAAACCACCAAAAGTCAAAATGAGAACATCTTAGGGGGACGGAGGGAATATAAAATACTCTATGTATTACGTACTTTTAAATTACGTACTAATTATTTAGAAAGAGAAAAGTATGATATGAGTTAAATTTTAAATATGGATTCAAAGAAGTAGTTAATGAGACACATACATATACAAGTTATATTTTCTAAATTTAATTAACGATTTCTGATATGTGAACTATGGTTCACGAGGTTCGACAGGGTTAACCAGTACCCCTCCATTGCCGTACGTACGAGCTCGTAATAATGGACTCGTCTTGTACCCAAAGTACTTGAAGTCTGAGAAAAAGATAACGGACTCGTCTTGTACCCAAAGTACTTGAAGTCCCAGAAAGAGATAATGGACTCGTCTTGTACCCGAAGTACATGAAGTCCTAGTTAAACAAAGAGTAAAAGAAAAGTTGATTTTCTTGATATTACAGTTTTATAAAACAAATGTGTTTATATTATTGCTGTAAGAATTTTGAGAAAAGTATATGTTTATGCTATTATATTTTGTACCTATTGTTATAATTGGTACCACTCAGCTTTTGCTGATCGGGTTGGCTCCATTTTTTTAGGTACACAAACAAGATAGTGACCGAACCGGAGGACAATGCTAAGGCGATGGAAGGATGGAGGAAATGAAATAAAGAACGATAACAATAATAAAGATGTTATTTTGAAATATATATTTTGTATGAATATGTTAAGCTTCCGCATGTATAATAGTTACTCCGATATTATCAATAAATAAATAAGTTTTGTTTAATGTTCCATTTTCTGATTCAAAAAGTTACACCCGTTAACACCGCGAGTCGGATATTCGAATAAATTTGGGTATCCGGGTTGTGGCGTTACAATTTGGCATCGGAGCATTAAGGTTTCAAAATGATTTTCGGACCCAAATAAGGATTAAAAAAGTTATAGTAGTACATCTCGTCCACTCATCCTCCAGCGTTGCTCCGGAAAGGTAAATTTTTAATACTTAGTACTTGACAATTATATAAAGTTCTGTGGACATATGTTTAGTAAAAAAGAACACATACATGAAATTTTTATGATATGATTTTTTTTTCTTTCGAGCATTTCTCTGATTTAACAACGTTATTCAAAGTTAGCTTAAGTAGGATTTTTCAGGAATGTGAATCCTGTCTACATGTGAAAGAGAATGTCTAGTTTAGATACTAGAACTAGTCATTGTAAAATACAGAGTATGTTTTTAAGATTTTACCAAACCACAATATAGAAGGACCATTGAAAAATAGTAACGAATATAAATATAGTAACAAATACGCACATATGGTAATAATGATTTCATAATTATTTTTAATAGATGAGTACTCAATCGGTCCATAACGAGAATAACCTAGTAGTGACGACACAAATCAAAATGTTCGAACCATCACTCAAATATTAGAGGCAGTTCAGCACATGGCGCCACCACAATACACTATAGAAAAGTTGAAGAGGAACGGAGGTGAGGAGTTCTTGGCAGACAAGATAAAGAATCCAGGTAAGGCAGAGTACTGGTTGGTAAGAACCAAAAGAGCTCTAAAAACTTTGAAGGTCCCAGAAGATGATAAGCCACAATTAGCAATTGCATTACTTCAAGACGCGGCATATGACTGGTGGAAAAGAATCGAGAGAGATCCCACCACTCCTGAATGTTACAACTTTTGTATGGATTACAACGGACGGGGAAGATGAACGGCCTCGTAAAATAAAAATAAATAAAATTCTGAATTTATAACTTATTCAGAATCTTACAAGATAAACAGAATTGAAAATAAATTTATATATCTTCAAACAGCCTTGTTGTATGAGGACATTAAGCACTGGACATCGAGGACATTATGCACTGGACATCGAGGACATTATGCACTGGGCTGCGAGGACATTATGCACTAGGGCAGAATGCAGCGAGGTCTTTATGAACTAAACCTGCAAAACAAAACACCGTGAAGGACAGCGGAGTCGCCGGAGTTGTCCTTAAGGTAGTAGTGCCCGCCTACTGTACCGGAAAAACGTGGGCACTCTCCTCAAAGGATAAAACCGCTATCGTGTGTGGAGATTGTACGGACCAACCACACACCAACGAACAAGAACAACGTAGAAATGTTGACGACCAAAAAAACTTTAAGGGAGATGGCCGGAAAATTTGGCCGGAAAATTAAGAGCTCTCTCTAAAATAAAACAAGAAAGTGAGTTTGTCTTTTCTTTTTCTCTTCCTCATGCATGAAACCCACACATAAAACACACCACACTAAACAATGGAGAGCCCTTGATATTTATAACTAAGGAATTTTAAAAAGTGTAACTCCTGCGCCATTAATCCATGGCATTTGTGGCACAATAATGACGTGTTAATGGTGATTAATTAGCCATTAACACGTCCGTTACGCTACGCTCCGTTTAAAGTTTGTCCCAAATAATTGGAGATTAATGGCCAGTTAACTCCGTAAAAAGGACTAATTTTAAACAATACGTAAAATTAATAATAGAAGATTGGCTCAGTAAAATTGCAAAAAATTGCAATCCTTACCATATTCTTTTATTAACGGGTTAACTCTGAGAATCAATTTCTCATTCACCCTCTACCATTTTTGACGTATAAATTATCAAAACATTTATCTCATTTAAGAGAACACACGTCCATTAATTAACGGTTAAAACCGTTAGTGGACCTATTGATAAATATACCCAAGTTGGTCCATTTAATGCCTATTAAAAATGCCAAAAATTCCAACACT